CCTCTTCATCAAAATAAACATTTAATAGCAGAGTAAGAGGAAATAAATCTGGGATCTTTCTGAAAATATTAGCATAAGATGTTCTTAACAGAGGGAAATATTACTCAGACTGAAGAACAGAACGTCATATTTATAGAGAAAAAAAATGGTATATGGTAGTTCTGTTCTGCTTTTTAATTGCAACATTATATACATTTTAAGTCTGTTTTCATTTTACTTGAAAAGCTTCATACAATTAAGAAATTAGAAGCTAGCAATCTACTCTAACATCATTCAGAACAGAGAACCAGCTTGCACTACAAGTCCAATATACAGTAAATTCTATTGGATATAATTTAGGTCTACCTATTCTTTTTATTGGATGGGGCTTTTCTTCTTATGATCAGTAATATTTTGAAATGATTAAACACAAGTTAAACTTATAGCATTTGAGGCTAGAGTACTTGAATATGGAGAAGCCATGTTTAATAAAAGGCAAAATGTAGAACTAGCAGTAAAGAGATGGTTTATAAATTATAGAAACACTTTTTACTATTATTAATATTGAAATATTAATTTTGTTCTTATGTTATATATATTGAGAATATTTCAAGGGTTAACAATATTAGTTCATAATGAACATATTTTCAGTTTTAGTTATACAGAGATTTTTGGAAGAGGTAGGTCTGATATTTTTCATGGAAAGTAATACTCCTTCAAGGGCATGTTAATACAGCTTTTGGGGAAGTTGCCTATTTAGCTGTTCAGGAAACTGACTGAAAATCAGCTAATGCTAGCAAGTTTCCATACTAGTTGATGGCAGCAACATTGCTTCCTCTGTCAATCTTACTAGTCAAAATTAGGCTGCTAATTTATGAAGCTAATCAATGCAAACCCACTCAATATGGTAAGACTTTGTATAAATATATATAGGACAGCATTGAGTTCCTTAAAACAGTGATCCCCAACCTTTTTTATGCCGCGGCCCGGTACCGGCATCAGCTGGGCGCCGCCATCTTTTTTTGATGAAAAAGTGCTTCCGGTGAGCTTTCTACCCGGAAAAGCTCACCGGAAGCACTTTTTCATCAAAAAAAGATGGCGGCGCCCAGCAAACCAGCGGCCCGGTAGGACTTGTTCCACGGACCGGTACCGGTCCGTGGACCGGTGGTTGGGGACCCCTGCCTTAAAATATTAAAATGGTTACTACCTTTATAGAGTTCACATCATCTCAAATGAGATTTATCAGAACAAATGAGGTGATATAACAAGAACTGACATATCCTTCTCTACAAGGAAAAAATTAAAGAAGCCCCACTGAATGAAACTGACACCCAAGTCATAAAAGACAGCTGTAGGAGACAGTCCAGAACTGTAGATATATATAAAAAAACTGAACAGAAGAATGAGTAAAAGCTAGTAAGGCATTAGATATGAAGAAAAGGTTTTCCAGCATTACCTATTAGGTATCTACTCAATGCTGTTTTAACAAATTTTGATAGACAACGTATGTATGAGAGAAAAAACTGATACAATATATGAAATCCCTGTATCTACTTATTTCCAATCTCAAAAAAAATAATGCACATGCAATGTTTTAAACTTGCATATAAGAAAATAAGGCTCCAAAATAACAAAAGCATTCTCTCAACAGAAGGCAGCTCAAGTAAGCTGAAACTAACAATATCAACACCCCAGCTTCTCATCTGTGTGATTAATGGAAAGTCAATGAGATTATTCTGTTAATAGCTTTCAAATTAGCCATCATGTTGTCGACTAATGTTTAATCAGTAAAAATTGGGGCCTATAGAATCTTAACACTAAGTCCCTAGTGGCAGAACATAGGCACTCAGCTTTGACTCTAAAAAGTTTCTTGAGAGCAGAGAATTTTTTTTACCTCTAATCTTGTAAAACCTCAGAGATACACTAAAAAGAAATGTGATCTCTTCTAGCTCCATAACACCTTAAAATTAATATCATTATTACCCAATACAAATTTTGGTTGGCTGTCAAAATCAGCCACTGAACTATTAGGTGGGCTGTGCAGGAGCTCAACAGTACAACCTAAATGTAGTAAATTATACAAAGGAAAAAAGCAGTTAAACAATATATTTAAATTGCCCAGCAACAATATAAAGTACTATATTGATTAACATATAGATGTAATAGGTTTTATTTCTCAGCTGTACGCATGGAACTAAAACATGCACATAAATATATGAATGCTTGCTGCCAAGTCCAATCTAAAATATTTAAAATACCAGCTGTAATTTAATAATTGTTACAAGACTTTGCTTCTTTAAATGAAAATCAGTAAGAGCCTTCAGTTTTGAGTAATACACGTTCTTGAATTATACTGAAAAAACTGTGGTAAACCTGCTTCTCCTTGGCAATTACTACAAGAGAATTTGCATTGTCTTATAGTAATTGCCAAGGACTAAAAGTCATTAAGAAAAAAGAATGAGAGAACACAATGCTAAAAATTGTAATAACACTCACTCAGTGATCCTCTTGGCTAGTTCTGTGCAGGCTGCTGAGGAATTTGCTGAGAAGACCCGGTAGCCACTTCTGGCTGCATTCATTGCCAAAGAATCATGCAACCCCCTTCGAACTCGAGAGTGAGAAAACACAGATTTATAAGGTAACAGCAGTTTCCTTGGCATCCTCCTTAGTTCTCCAAATACTAATATCACCCACACCGCACTGAGATAATGATAGCGATAAAAAGAATTCTGATTAGGAAAGACTTGCCGTTTTCCAATTATTAGGGTAATCAGGAAAAAAAAAGTTACATTCAAAGCAGCAGCAGAACTTAAAACATTAGGTGAGAGGAAAAGCCCTTCAGTAAGACATACAACAATGGAGGCAAGGCTGGGCGTTTGCCTCCAGGTAGTCAGAAAGTCTTAACAAACCGTCACACTGATTATCAACAAAGTGGAAATATCACAGGCCAGAGAAGTTGATCAGAGAGAAAAGAAGATTTTTTTTTACGTGTGTTGCCAAAAAAAAAAAAAAAGGTGAGAGGACTGTCCTCAGTGCGATTAGGCAGCGAAGGCAACAAGCAATGAAGCAATGCAATTTGGTTACATACCAAACAGGGAAGACACACAGGAGGAGAGCCAATTTCTCTAGACAAAAGGGATAAAGGGGGGGAGGGATGTTGTCCCCTCTGGCAGCCCGAATAAAGTTAGTTACAGGTAAGCAGGCAGGGCAGGATAGGGTCTTCCTGGTAGCGACTCTGTGGGGCAAAGAGGGAAGGCAGGAATGCCCCAATCCAGAAGAGATGGAGAAATGAAAAACGGGTTGGAGAAATAAGGAAGGAAGCCACCTTCCTGGGACTTTGGGGGAGGAGTGGGGCTGAGGAGTGAACCTATGTAGCTGATCCAGAGGTCCCAGAGACACGGTTCGGACTGAGGCGAAATGAAAGGAGAACTTTTCCCCACTAGAAAAATAGAGGGAGCCAGACGGGTAGCGGAGAGCGGGATGAAAAGGCGGACCGAAGCCGAGGCAGGTTTCGGAGTGAAGTCGTGGGGAGAAGGCGCGGAGACACAAACACACACACACGGGCGCGCGCAGAAAGAGCGAGGACAGAGAAATCGGATGAGACAGGTCGGAGGATTCGAGCAGAAGCTTCCAGAGAAGCAGAGGCAGCTCCCGTCACTGAGGCGGCAGTGTGAACTTCGAGCTCGGTCCCAGCCTCAAACTCGGCGAGGCTCAAATCCGCCAGCACGCTCCGAAGAACACAGAGACGCCGCGCTAGAGCGCCCCCTCCCGCTCCCAGCGGCCATTTTGTCTTAGCGCTTCGCTGCTCTCGGCTGTAAAACGCAGACATATTGAGTGAGGGCAGAGGAGAAACGGTCCGTCGCTAACCTACCTACCTACCGCTTTTCCCCTTTAGCGCACGGGCAAGCTTCGGTCGACTCACCTCTTAAAAATTAAAACGCCGGCCACTCAGCCTACGGTTTCATGCACCTTTTTTTAAACCGTGGAGGATTCTTTTCCATCAATAAAGAAGGTTAGCTGTGTTGGCGGGCCAAGTAACCGTTAACAGGGGAAATCTCCTTTGAGAGGAACTTAATAGTCGTTGCAACGGAAGTGGGCGGAGTTAGAATTTCGTGCTTGAGGTGCGTAGAGAAAAGTGCTTAATTACTGCAACTTGAACTTAGAGGAGAAGAGCGTCAGACAGAGGTGTCTGGAAGGCGGTTTGTTACAAACCTGAGCCGCGCCTGAATGTATGTATGCTAGACGTGTGTATGATAGATAGGTATAGATATGTATGGTAGATTTGTATATAATAGATATGTATGATATATATGTATGATAGGTATTATACACTGCTCAAAAAAATAAAGGGAACACTTAAACAACACAATATAACTCCAAATCAATCACACTTCTGTGAAATCAAACTGTCCACTTAGGTAGCAACACTGACTGACAATCAATTTCACATGCTGTTGTGCAAATGGAATAGACAAGAGGTTTTAGAAAGCATAGGCAGTTAGCAAGACATCCCCAATAAAGGAGTGGTTTTGCAGGTGGTGACCACAGACCACTTCTCAGTTCCTATGCTTTCTGGCTGATGGTTTGGTCACGTTTGAATGTTGGCGGTGCTTTCACTCTAGTGCAGGGTTGGGCAAACTACGACCCGCGGGGCACATCTGGCCCGTTGGTCTTTTTAATCCGGCCCACCTCTGAAAAAAAAATCGGGGCCGGCCAAAAGAGACCCTGCGCCGCGCGCCAAAAAAATCGCACACACAACATCAACGCTACACACCCTTTCCAGCCGGTCAGGTGTGGATAAGCTCCGGAGCTGGGCAGCCGCTTCCCTGGTGGCGGGGCCGAGGCCGCCGCCCGGGGAACGCCCACTGCTTTCCCTTGCCAGGGCTGTGCGTGGCGTGTTGCCCTGCGCCACGTGGCCCCCGCCTGGCAGCGTGCTTCTCGGCTTGTCTCCTCCTCCCCGGCCATACAGAACAAACCGCCAGAGAAGGAGACGACCCCCCGGCTGGTTGGGGGAAGCTTTCTTTGCCGAAAGAGGCAGCTACTAATCTCCGGCTTTGCTCCGCTTCTCCAATGGTCCGGCACCACCCTGTTCTTGTGCTGCGAAAGAGGCGGCTAATGATCTCCGGCTCTGCTCTGCTTCTCCAACATCCGGCGCTGCCATGTTTGGTGTCAGGCCCAGCAAGTCTGAGCAGCCGGCGCACAGAACAGGGCGGCGCCGGATGTTGGAGAAGCAGAGCGGAGCCGGAGATCATTATCCGTCTCTTTCGCAGCACAAGAAGCCTCCCCCAACTGGCCAGCTGCTCTCCTCCTTCTCTGCCTGTTTGTTCTGTATGGCCAAGGAGGAGGAGGCCAGCCGGCTGGTTGGGGGAAGCTTTCTGCCCCGAAAGAGGCAGCTACTAATCTCCGGCTTTGCTCCGCTTCTCCAATGGTCCGGCACCACCCTGTTCTATGCGTCGGCTGCTCGGACTTGCTGGGCCTGACACATAGAACAGAGCATGCTGCAGGCATCTCGCGACAAGCCCCAGGACATGTGGTCACCTGCTGGCTAGCCGGGCTGGAAGAGGCACGTTCTCCAGGAGAAGGAAGAAAGCGTGCTCCGGGAGGGCGGGTGCCGGGCAGGTGGGCGGATGTTCCGGGACCACTTATTGGTCGACTTTAAGAGTGCCCCCATGGAAGAAGCCGAGCAAACGTAGTGGCGGCAGGGGTGACGGGGCATGTGTGTCCCTCCACAAGGAGTATGAAGGGAGGCAGACACCACACCTCTCAGGAAAAAAATAGGTGCCAAAGCCCTGGCTGTCACCTGGGAGGGGACCGTGGAGGGACCCATCACATGCCCTTGTTGCCTCCCTTCATGCTCCTTGTGCATTCTGGGAACACCTAACTGGAACAAAAGAGAGCGAAGTTGACTGCTATGAAATGAGCACCTTGGCTTCCCCTCTTGCTCCTCACAGTTGCCCTGAGTTGGTGCGGTTCTTTACTTGGGCAGCCAGACGCCCGCAGCAGCAACAGGCAATTCCGCCCGGGCTCCGCTCAGGTGTCCGGCTGGGGCTGTCAGGAGTTGTTACCGCCGGCGCAGCTCCGCGCGGCTTCAGTCCCGCATTGCCTTGGGAAGGGAAAGGCAAAACCAGGAGCTGCTGAGCCTGATCCTCCGGTGCCGCTGCTGCCGTTGCAAAGCGCCGCCGCGGCTCTTCCTTTTTGCCTTTCCCTTCCCGAGGCAACGCGGGACTGGAGCCGCGCCGAGCCGTACCGGCGGTAGCAACTCCTGACTCAGGGGGCTTCTGAGGGGAGGGGAAGGAGGAGAAGAAGGGGGGGAAGGGGGGTGGGCGATTCCCAAAAAAAACGGAATTCCGATTTTAATCGGAAGAATATCATGTCTGCGCATTAGGCACAGTGACTTGATTTTGCAGAGCCCGAGCCATTTCCAATTATCGCTCTTCTTCTACTGGTCAGATCAGAACCCATCCGCAGCAATGTCAAAGAAAAGAAAAGTCGACAGTGAGTGCTGGGTGTTTAATAAAGAATGGACACCTAAATACTTTTTTACTGAAGTCCGGTCAAAGGCTGTATGTCTTATTTGCCAAGAAACCATTGCAGTTTTCAAAGAATACAACATCAGCCGTCACTTCTCCACCAAGCATGCTAATTACGCCAGCAACCTTTCAACGCAAGAACGTACGGCTACCGCTCATAGGTTGGTAGCTAGCTTGCAGACTCAGCAAAACCTGAGCAACTTCCTTTAACCGAGCAACTTCCATCCAAGAAGCAAGCACGAAGACAAGTTATTTACTGGCATTCAAACTAGCAAAAGCCAGCAAGCCTTTCTCCGAAGGGGAATTTCTTAAAGAGTGCATGGTAGAGACAGCAAGTATTTTATGTCCCGAGAGCAAGAACAAATTTGAAAAAATTAGCTTATCACGCAGGTCAGTGACTCGCCGTGTTGAAGTAATTGACGAACACTTAACTAGCAAGCTAAACAAAAAAGCGGAGTCATTTACATTATATTCTTTGGCACTGGACGAAAGCAATGACATAAAGGACACCGCTCAGCTTTTAATTTTTATCAGAGGGATTAATGAAAATTTCGAGATAACAGAGGAGTTTTTGGCTATGGAATCCCTGGAAGGAAAAACACGGGGAGTCGATTTATTTAACAGCGTGTCAGCGGTCATACAGAGGCACAAGTTACCTTGGAGTACGCTCGCCAATGTTACCACAGATGGATCACCAAATCTGACAGGAAAAAACGTCGGGATGCTCAAAAGAATCCAGGACAGGGTGAAAGAGGACAACCCTGAGCAGGAGGTAATTTTCCTACACTGCATAATTCACCAGGAAGCACTGTGTAAATCCGTGTTGCAGCTTGACCACGTAGTGAAGCCAGTTGTGAAACTCGTTAACTTTATTCGAGCGAGGGGACTTCATCATCGTCAGTTTATTCATTTTCTTGAAGAAACTGACGCTGATCACAGGGACTTGCTTTACCATTCTAATGTCCGCTGGTTAAGTTTGGGAAAAGTATGTCAACGTGTGTGGGAGTTCAAACAGGAGATTATTTCATTTTTGGAGCTACTTGAGAACACTGACAATTTTCCTGAGCTGAATGACACAGATTGGCTTTGTGATTTAGCTTTTACTGTGGACATACTGACACACATGAACGAGCTGAATGTGAAGCTACAAGGGAAAAACCAGTTTGTGCATGAAATGCAAGCAAACATCAGAGCCTTCAAAACCAGGCTAGTTTTATTTTCGAAGCAAATGTCAGACAAGTCATTTGCTCATTTCCCCACACTGGCTACGTTAAAAGAGGCCCCGCAACATGTGAAAAAATATAGGAAATCACTGGATGACCTGCATGAAGAATTCTGCCGTCGGTTTTGTGATTTTGGAAAAATTGACTGGGCACTTCAGCTGGTGTCATGTCCCTTCTCACAAGACCCAGAAACGGTGCCACAGGAGTTGCAGTTGGAACTGATTGATCTCCAATGTGATATGGTGTTAAAGGAGAAGTTCAACTCCCTGAAACTGGATGAGTTTTATGCTTCATTAAGTGCAGCCAAATTTACAAACATCCAGAAGATAGCACAGAGGATGCTGGTGTTGTTTGGCTCTACATATGTGTGTGAACAGACTTTTAGTGTGATGAACACCAACAAAGCACCCCACAGATCCCAGATGAGTGATGAACAGCTCAGATCTGTTCTGAGAATTGCCACAACAGAATTACCACCAGACTTCGATGCACTGGCAAAAATGACTGATCAACAACACTGTGCTCATTAAAATATGTTAATACTTTAATGCTTTTTTCTGTTTATGTTTGATATGTACTGTTAACAAATGCAGTTTTTTATATGTATCGTATCTTGTGCTGACCCGGCCCGTCTGTCAAATTTTAAAAGTCAATGCGGCCCCCGAGCCAAAAAGTTTGCCCACCCCTGTTCTATTGGTAGCATGAGACGGAGTCTACAACCCACACAAGTGGCTCAGGTAGTGCAGCTCATCCAGGATGGCACATCAATGTGAGCTGTGGCAAGAAGGTTTGCTGTGTCTGTCAGCATAGTGTCCAGAACATGGAGGCGCTACCAGGAGACAAGCCAGCACATCAGGAGACGTGGAGGAAGCTGTAGGAGGGCAACAACCCAGCATCAGGACCACTACCTCCGCCTTTGTGCAAGGAAGGACAGGAGGAGCACTGCCAGAGCCCTGCAAAATGACCTCCAGCGGGCCACAAATGTGCATGTGGCTGCTCAAACGGTCAGAAACAGACTCCATGAGGGTGGTATGAGGGCCCGACGTCCACAGGTGGGGGTTGTGCTTACAGCCCAACACCGTGCAGGACGTTTGGCATTTGCCAGAGAACACCAAGATTGGCAAATTTGCCACAGGCGCCCTGTGCTCTTCACAGATGAAAGCAGGTTCACACTGAGCACATGTGACAGACGTGACAGGGTCTGGAGACGCCGTGGAGAATGTTCTGCTGCCTGCAACATCCTCCAGCATGACCAGTTTGGCAGTGGGTCAGTAATGGTATGGGGTGGCATTTCTTTAATAAAAGTTTTATTTTAAGTTTTCACAAAACATACAAATACAAATAAAATATCTTTTTTTGAGAACAGCGTGGCCCCGGGTTATCACTTCTCCATACAGACATAAACTCAATACATATTTATCTTATACATTCTAATCCATATCTTATAACTATTTTCACAATTTTTTCAATAGCTTTTCCCTTTACTTCCTATAGCCTTATTTTAAATTATCTCGTTCCTTTCTTAATTCAATTACATATCTTTTTCTAATTTTTAAAATCTTTCATTTGATTAAATCAATGTTTTTATACTTTCGTCTGTCCTGTTTACAATTTCATATTATCTTTTCTCATAAAACAAATTTTCCCCTATAATTACTAGACTTTTGTATCTTTTTTCAAATCTTATTTAAAAATTTAAGTTACATCTTTACAGTTATAACATTCATTTTCTAACCTCTATTTTATAACACATACCTATTTTCAATCGAATTCTGCTTGGTACATTCCCTTAAAAATACACACTAAATTCTTAAAAAAGTATATATGTATATATATCTGTGTATATATGTATAACAATAGTAAATGGAATAATTATTCTATTCAAGTACAGCTCTGCCATTAATATTAGTAACAATCTTTTACATTTCTATTTCTTTTAACAAACATTACCTAGTAATATCAGTTGTCTTTCACTTTAATCATCTATATTTCATATTTTACTTATTACTGTCTTTAAATAAAAAACCAAACAATAGTTATTAACATAGTCAATAAAATTATTCTTATTCAAATTCATCTTATCAACTGATCAAAATCTTCCATGTTTCTTTTCAGTTTTTATTAAATGTTCTTTTTAAATCATTGAGAGCCTTATTCTCTTTACAAACAAATATTCCACTACACATCAATATAATTTTTTTCTATCAGTTTAATCATCTAACATATTTTCTAACTCTTTTCTATTTCTAGTATAACAATGCTATCCTACGCACCTTTGCAGAATCCTCTCCTTAAGTTAAATTTTAACCATTGTCTCTGTGTCTTTTAAATAGGTTTATACCTTTAATTCTTGTACGTATTTCCTGTTTCTCTATATCTTGTTTCTGTCCTTTATAGCTTCTTTTCCTTTCCATCTTCCCCCTCTTCTTCCCCCTCCCCTTTTTATTCCCCTTTCTATCTGATTCTCCCTTCTGTGATCCTCCCTTTTGCTTCTTGATATTATGATTACTTTTCAAATTACTCTTTTTTTTTGGTTTTTGCTTCAGTGCTTAAGTTTTTAACTCCCTTTCCCCCTTTCCCTTTTTTACCCCGCTTAAAATTGCTTGGTCATTGAAGATGGCTTCTTCGTTGTCCCTCCCTTCTTGTTCTGCCAGCGTTTCTTGTTGTTTTTAATAGTTCAAGATCTCAATTTCTAAAAATTGAAATACGAAGCCAAAAGATCCTCTTTCGTCTTGTGCTTCTTCTTTTTGTTCTTTAAGTCTCATTTTTAACTCTTCAAGGAGTGATGCCATTTTAAAAATTTTTAAACAACCCCCAATTGATTTTATGTTATTTCATTAGGATCCTCCATCCAAAGTTCTAGGAATCATCCAATAATCCAAAGCTGTTTCTTGCTTCTTTTCTCACTTTCTCTTTTGGGTGGCATTTCTTTAGGGGGCCGCACAGCCCTTCATGTGCTTGCCAGAGGTAGCCTGACTGCCATTAGGTATCGAGATGAGATCCTCAGACCCTTTGTGAGACAATATGCTGGTGTGGTTGGCCCTGGGTTCCTCCTAATGCAAGACAATGCTAGACCTCATGTGGCTGGAGTGTGTCAGCAGTTCCTGCAAGACGAGGGCATTGATGCTATGGACTGGCCCGCCTGTTCCCCAGACCTGAATCCAATTGAGCATATCTGGGACATCATGTCTCGCTCCATCCACCAACGCCACGTTGCACCACAGACTGTCCAGGAGTTGGGGGATGCTTTAGTCCAGGTGTGGGAGGAGATCCCTCAGGAGATCATCCGCCAGCTCATCAGGAGCATGCCCAGGCATTGTAGGGAGGTCATACAGGCACGTGGAGGCCACACACACTACTGAGCCTCATTTTGACTTGTTTTAAGAACATTACTTCAAAGTTGGATCAACCTGTAGTGTTTTTTTCCACTTTAATTTTGAGTGTAACTCCAAATCCAGACCATGGGTTGTTAAATTTGATTTCCATTGATAATTTTTGTGTGATTTTGTTGTCAGCACATTCAACTATGTAATGCACAAGTATTTAATCAGAATATTTCATTCAGATCTAGGATGTCTTATTTTTGTGTTCCCTTTATTTTTTTGAGCAGCGTATGATAGATATGTATGTATGCACCTGCTAGACCTATATGGTAGCAGTCTGGAAATCTTGCAGTTGAGTTGGACTACAATTCCCATATTACCAATCAGCGTGGAGAGTGGTTTATTGACAAGGGATGTCGTTCCAAGGTATGTGGAGTGCTGGCGTATATAATATATGAGGGTGGCGCTGGCAAGGAAAGGAAAGATCAGATTTGTTCAACAAAGAGTCAAGCCTGTCCGTTGGTGTTAGATGAACTTGACTGTGCACGCGCTGACATTGCTTGTGGTTGTGGGGAGACTAAACTGCCTGGCTCCCCCCTCCCCCCCAAAAATAAGGCACATATGCTGTCACTTAACAGGAATGTTCTGAATCAATTATCCGTGACCATAATTTAGAAAGAAACTATTAAACATTTTGAAGGTTTGATCTTGTTAGCAGCTCTCCAGAAATGCAGTGAAAAGTGGGCCGCCAAATCTTGTGGTGCAAAAATATGGATGATCGATGGTTAGCAGTAAAACGGTTTTCTGAACCATTTTGCTGCCAACTTGTTGTCTGCATCTTTCAGTCTTGATTTGATAGCCCTGCATAAGAGTTAATGGGCAGGATTCCCTCTGGTTTTCCATCTGTTCTAATAGTTGTAATGAGTGGATATGTGTTAATGAGGAAAGAGGAAATTTTATTTCAGGTGTGATTATTCTTAAACCCTTCATTAGGATACAGTATTCCAATTAATTTTATATTTTATTCTGCTTTCCAAATAATAATTGACGATGTCTTTGAATATTAGTAACTCAGGTTGGTAGCACAATCCAAAGAGCACAGAAGACATCTCCTCTAATGGGGATGAAACGTTTGCAACCAAATCACCAAGCCCGGCGCTCAAACCAACTACATAAATAATTGACTGAATTCATACTATGAATGATTCTACATAGGTAACTTTGCCATATACTTTGTTCTATTTTTAGCTATTTTAAATCAAAATACGATAAAATACATTTAACTGAATTTAAATGCAACAATTTTGCTGCAAATAAAGCATAACCTTTGTGTAACACAACAGAATTGTTATGGCGAAAGAAATTATTTGATGAAGACTTCTGAACACTTTGTGATAATTAAAAACAACTGTAAACATTAATGTGGTTTTAAGAGTATTAATATGATTTACTGTATGACAACATTATGTGCTTAAAAATTGATAATACATAAGATCTAGTCATAAATAAATGCAGTGTTTAGAATGTAAGGCTACTGGAAGCTGATTGATAAAAATTCTGGCTCAGGAGATTTCTGGTGAGGAAATGGTAAGGTAAACTGATACCCAACAAACAGCAGAAAACGTGGTTGAAAACAGCAACTGGATGCTGGATCTAGACCAGGGGTCTTCTAATTTGATAGCTTCATGTTCAGGAATTCTGGGAGTTGAAGTCCACAAGTCTTAAACTTGCCAAGTTTGAAGATCTTTGATCTAGACCATTGAAATCTCTCTAGAGAAAGGAGAGAGCTTGAGATTGCCCATATATACAATGGACAGCTGGGGTAAGAGTGGTAACTGAGGTTTCTCATTGCTTTCAAACAGCTGATATTTTCAGGATTCCACCAAACTCATAGCCACTGCAGCCTTTCACGGTTCAACTGTGAACCTCACTTAATCATTTTGGAGTTTACTTTTTGTTGGCGTTGTTGCTTTTTAAAGGTTAAGGACCTTCAGAACTGCAACTGTAATCATACTAAATTTTTCTTCAATTTTTAAGAAAAAAGTTTTAATTATAATTCAGGCTTTTGCAAAAAAATATTTTTTAAATATGTGGCAAAAGTGCTATTTGAGAAATTTTTAAATGGATTAAGGGTCGAGATGGATTTGAATTAGAACTTTGAAATTACAGTAACTATAAGAATCCTTTCTGTGGAAAGATATCTGTTTGCATTTTGAATTGATAAGGTGACTTTGAAAATTGGTCACTAGAGGGCACAGGAAGGAAATAAATTTATCAATAAATTCTTGAAGAGAAATCTATGATTATTGGGCTCCAAAAATAATTTTATCTGTTATTATAGAAAAAATGGATGATGTCACTGAAGAGAAACAAATTCCATTGGATAAAACAAATTTATTTGAATGTGGATTTGAAAATGGCAGCATATAAGAGATGAAAAAAGATGAAATAGTAGATAAACCCCCCAAAATTGCATTTGCAAATGAGACTTGTTGATTATTTAACAATTTAAAAGAGACACAACTACTAAACCAGAAGAATGATGTGAATATTCTCCTTATATTGGATTTATTAAAGGGACTTTGTTGAAGTTGTCATTGATTTCTTGAGAACAAAAAGAATACGAACACTGCGATATGGATAACCTTTTAATACTTTAATTACAAAAAGGGCTTTCAAAGAATATGAAAAAGGCAGATGTTAGGAAATTGTTTGAGGGGACTAAAGATTTTCAGGAAAAAGTGGAAAGATAAATTGTTTTATTTGATCAAGGCTAAAATAAATAGATTGCTAGAAAAGAAAATACTATATAAAAGTAAAAGGAAACGTTCAAACTAGGTTTATTAGATATAGTTTATTAATACTGTAGTTACTTCTGATAATCCTTAATGGACTTTTGCTGGCTAAGATGGTGTGATGAGATTGATTTATAAAGAAGGATATGAGTAATAGGACAAAGATATGGGTTTTATTTTAAGAGATGGTGATAAGCTATTAATGTTGATTACACTTGCTGAGAATATAGAACAGGGCTATCAAACTCGCGGACCGGATGCGTCACGTGCTGGCCATGTCCACCCCCACATTAGCGAAAAAGTCCTGATACGTCATGTGACGCTGCCATGACGACATGAGTTTGACACCCCTGATATAGAAAAAGATTTTGGTTTTTTTTCCTTTTTTCCACATTCTGTGTGTGTGCGTGCTGCACACCTGTGTGTAGTTTCACGTGTATAATACAATTTTTAAAAAATACAAATCACTTTAATGTGTGAATCCATTCAGTATTTGCTGAAGGGTGGGCAGCAATATGTACATTTTGCAGTGTATGCTAACTCTAAAGTGTACTGCTCCAACTAATTTAATTTCTAGCTGAAATTATTTTATCTGCAGGCTTTCTACTGTAAAACGCAAGTTGTGGTTGCTGTTTAAATCTAACAATAAATTTGAGGAAGATCTACATAATCTGTTCTTTGAAGGGTTTTCTCTGCCAAAAGGTTGTTAACTAAATAATTAACGCTGCCAGACCATTGTTCTGAACGAAATGAGACAACTGGCCTAGGAATAATTTAACTTGCAATAACTTGCTGTGGGAATAATTCAACAGTTCAATTGAATTACTTAATTTAAAATATTTTAATTTTTTTGTCATTCACATTTCATTTTGTCCCTCCTTTTGTATCCTTTCTTTAATGAGTCTATTCTACCATTTCTTTGATTTCAGTGTAACTCTTGTGTCCCACTGTGTGTTGCCCTGTTCTGAATTCTGAATATGACTTAGACTCATCCCTTATAGAACACACTATGAGACATTTAAATGGTAGCTAGTTCAGCTACTCTATGCTGGGTTAACTTTTATTGTTAAGTTTAGCCCAGGGATGGCTGGTGCTGATGCTAATCTTGTTACTAATGAAATAAAAAACATACTTTACAGATGGTCAAAAGAGTAGAAGTTCTCTATACCAGAGGTCTCCAACCTTGGCAACTTTAAGACTTGGGGACTTCAATTCCCAGAATCCCTCAGCCAGCTGGCTGAGGGATTCTGGGAGTTGAAGTCCCCAAGTCTTAAAGTTGCCAAGGTTGGAGACCCCTGCTCTATACAATGGATGTAATTAAAAGAAAAATAGTGGGAAAACAAAGAATACACAGAAATTAAGTGATAGAATTAAGTGATACATTAAGTGATAGAATTCCATGAGATCTGTAGTGTTACACATTATACAAAGAGCTTCTGAACAGCAAAGCTGATGGACAGTGTCTTCCCTCCCCTCCCACCCAAAAATTTCTAAGAATGAATCTGCTGGTAGGAAGGATACGTTTCTCATTATCTGACCTGTAGGACAGTTAGATAATCAAGGCTTCATCCAATCAATGTGCCATGTCAGATAAAATGAGCAGCCAAGTCAAATGTGTAACTGACTCAATTTCCCCAGCTGAGAAAGAAACAAAGGCAAGCTTGAATTGGAAATGAGCATAATTTCTCAATAGAGTTTTATTTATTAACTGAATTAAAAAAGAGGGACGGTTACTTTATCTAAGCTAATGATTGAGCACTGGTGGAATGGATTTTCATCTTTTTTACAGTTTCTTCTTACCTCTCTGAAATTACTTTGGCGAATTAGGAGAACTTCTAGAGTATAAGTAGAAAAATACAGATATAGCAGGGAAGTGGGGAAATCCTAATATTCAAGAGATCCTCTTTGGGGGAACTTGGAGCAGTAAAAACCTCAGAGGCAAGCTTTCAAACAGGATACCTGCATAGATGGTTTAGTAGGCAGTGCAGTTTTCCCAAGTTCGATTTTCCATGTTGGTACCAGTACTATGAGAAGCTTTTCCAATACAGTGTTTGCCCAACATCCCTAATGCTTTCTTGAGGAAGGCTTTTACAGTTCTTAACTAAAATTCTTCTGCTTTCTTTTGTGCTTTTTTAAAAACTTATAAATTGTTGGCTCAATTGTAGCATTGATTCTATTGCAATATACTTGCACTTTTTCTTACTGCTTTCTCTCATTACTGCTTTCATTCTTTTTTAATGCTACATTAATGTAGGTCCAACAACACCCATTGATTGATGATATACAAGAGACATTGGCATGACTTGGATGTCACCCTGTGCTGAGTCTCAGTTATTGTTATGCAATAAAATCCTTAATCAATTGTCCTACTTTTTTATTAACTGCTGGAACTAATGTTTATTTATTATTCCATGAATTGAAGAAAATTATTCCATTGACATGTATGTTATGCAGTACATAATTGCCTTTCATTTGCATTTTGTATAATTTGAGAAGCATAGTTTGCAATGAAGCAGCTTCAGCAAGATTTGATGTTCTTCCTGACAGTTATTTAAATGTTGTAAGGAAAAAAAATACATGGACTATGAAAATAAATTAGTTTTAAATGTTTTTAAACTCAATAGATACAAGACATTAAACTTTCAGGGAATATTTATTTTAGGTAATTCTCTTTCAGAAAAATCAAAGAATATGAGAAAATCTTGCATAGAGAACAAAAAAACCCTATTTGAATTAGTAGAAGTACATTCATTTTCTCACAGAGAAATCCTATATTGTGACTGAATAAATATAAGCTTGTGCTTCATTTAACGTACAGAGGGATGAACTGCTCTGAATAACAGCTTGACATTTTTACAAGGATGTAAGTCAATGTATACTTCTGACCTGATGAAAGCACAGAACAAATAATAAAGCTGTATATTAGAATAGGAAAGCTATGTTACTGTATGGATTAATGACAAGCTGAGAATAGGAGTATTAGGTACATTTACCACTTTGAGTTACAGTATACTGTATTTAAAAAAGTGGGATAAACATATAATACTAGCAATAATTATAATTTTAAAAATAGAGAAGATACTTTTACACAAAATTAGAAGACTGTAACATGCTAACATATACAGATTATCATTACCTGATTCAGCCCAGACAGACAACCTGTCTGATTATTGACCAATTTAAACATTTAGGCCAGTTATTATTCCAACAGTGTGGCAACAAGTAATAAGATAATACAATAAAGCCAAATAAGTAATAGATTATTTTAAATCATACTCTTTAAAATACACAAATAAATTACCCTGACAGAGAGGCACTTAAAAGACAAAAGTCATAAGTTAGAGCAAGGAAAACTACCTGGTACCAAAAGGCAGGTAGTATTGCCAACAGCCAGGCCTCTAGGGAAAGGTATTGTACAGC